TGAATAATATCTAAAGAATCAGTGTCGTTGTCCAAAAATTAACTAGATGCAACTATCCGGAGATTTGAATAATATCTAAAGAATCAGTGTCGTTGTCCAAAAATTAACTAGATGCAACTATCCGGAGATTTGAATAATAGCTAAAGAATCAGTGTCGTTGTCCAAAAATTAACTAGATGCAACTATCCGGACATTTGAATAATAGCTAAAGAATCAGTGTCGTTGTCCAAAAATTAACTAGATGCAACTATCCGGACATTCGAATAGTAGCTAAAGAATCAGTGTCGTTGCCCAAAAATTAACTAGATGCAACTATCCGGACATTCGAATAGTAGCTAAAGAATCACTGTCGTTGATAATATTTCGTTAGTTACAACCCGTAAAATCTACGTGGTGAGTGTTAGGGCCTCACTGTATCAATAATTAGTAGCAAATATGGTTTATTGACATTGATAGAATATTTTCACATATGGGATATCCCTCTGAATAATAAGTAGTAAAGCAGTATTATTGGATTATTCCACAGTTTATGTAATATTAATATCTCTGATAATTCGTTATGGGTTAAGGCACGTTCTGTGGAACTTACATCAAGACTCCTTACTGGCCAATCAAACTAAAGCAATCGCCAAACCAGCAAATGAATAAAATTGAAGATACAACGGGAGTGTTGTCTTTTCAGAGACGATAACAAGTGCAAAATGCGTTAAAACAGGTGTGTATTATCACAAGAGAAGAAACGAAACGCAAACATAAAGAAGAACATACTGATTTAAGAAGTTATATGCAAATGAGTTTTACTAGACCGTGTTAAATTTTTGTATTTTACTTTTAGATGTGGTGTATAAAATATGCGTATGAATACAGACAGGTAGAAAGCAACTTTAATAACATTTAATTCTAGTGAGACAATATATAATCGGTAGACGGAGCTTGTAACGAGATTTCCAAATCTTCAACCATTCAAGCGAAATTCGCGCCACAAAATAAACATCCTGTCACTTCAGAGCAAAATTAACTCTCAATACGTTGTGCTTCTGTAAGCACATCAAAAGAACTATAATATGAAAACAAACGTCAGAGGACGAAATGTCTTTACTAAGTAAACATACAAAAGCAACGTGTTGCAATAACGCTTGGCTTCGAAGGCAAAAATACTTACATTCTAAAATTAATTTGCTCATTACATCGAAAAATAAAAGTTACATGTCAAGACATAGACTACATTAATTACACCATGTAGAAACCGATTTTGCTGGAGCTAATACTAAGTAGCAAATAATGTTTTTTTTCTTTTTTTTTTGGAGTTAGGCACAAAACTACACAATGGCCTATCTGTGCTGGTTTCTAACGTTATAAGCAGACTTACCGCTGTGCCTCTAGGGTCAATAATGTTTTCATAGCGAAGATTAAACTTCAATGTAATATATGCCTATCCTCAAATAAAGAAACACAGGCAAATTTCTATCTTGAATCCTCGTAAAGTTTGTATTCGATATATTTTTTTTAACTATAGCACAAACTTTTTACACCGAAATATATTGGTCTAAAATAATCATGGATGAAAATGTGACGTTGTTACTTTCATTGTGCAACCTCTGTGTTGAATATGGGGTTACGATGAACAAGTGAACTTACGCTGTGACACTAGTATCAGTACCACCACTTTCTACTAGCTAGGACTCTTATATCAGTACCACCACATTCTACTAGCTAGGACACTAATATTAGTGCCACATTTTGTACTTGCTAAGATACTAACAACAATATCATCACTTTCTACCAGCTGGGACACTAGTATCAGTACCACCACTTTCTACCAGCTGGGACACTAGTATCAG